AGGCAGACTACGTCTTGTCGGTTATGTTTCTTTCTTTTTCACTCACTCTTTCTCTAAAAAGCTTCTACCGCTCTTACCACTCAACTGTCAAGAGGAAGAAAAAAAATTACCACTGTTTACTGCCGGCCGCATGGCACATGCTGCTTCATCTTCGTTTCCTAAACGAATACCGCGTGTTGAATGGCTGTGGAAGGCTAACGTAGATCCGTGGTCTCTCTCTTCTGACGAAGACGAAGAAGAATGGAAGCGTTATTCGAATGTGGAAACACGCATAATCGAAGAAGCCTATGTGAGCGGGAAGAATGAGGCCATTCTCGATGATTATCACATTCGATTCAAACCACATCTCATACAGATATCGAACACTAATCATAACAATCAACGACCTGTCAAACGAGTCTGTCGAGATGGAATAGAAGAGACTCGTCCACTAAGGGAAGCAAGATTCATGCCTAATCCTATTAATCCTAAGAAACCATACTTAGAAAATTATCCGAGTTTCCTTCGAGAAGTTTCCAAATACTTTGATGTTCCAAAGTCTTCTTCGGCATTTGAGCTTCTAGATGAACAACGTTTGATCTTGCTGGAAAAAGCAGCGCAAGGTCTCATCATGGAAGGTAAGAAACTGGGAAAACAACGAGAAGCTGAATGGATGGCTCGAGAGCTAGTCAAAGTGAAAGCGATATATGAATATGAAATAACAACAAATACCGTCCAAAGAAGTATTGCAAGAGATCTTGAAGTATATCACGTGTGTGCTCATCTCTACACTATGGAATCCTTCTTGTACAAGGAAATAAATGCACTCATGCGTCTTGACGGTGATATGGAATACAAAGAACTGCTGATGAGTAAAGTTCCTACCTATGGTCCATTTGCTTATCTCTTATTTTGGAAGCGAGGGGTAAGAAAGGAGGCGTCCGAGAAAACTTTGACAGTCTACCGCTGTGCAAACTTATCAGATGAATTAATTCAACAGTATAAAGAAAAGTATTACCGAGGCATGTTTGCCACGTTCCCAGCCTTTACTTCAACAAGCCGAAATCGAGCGAAAGCGGTACAGTTTGGAAATGTTCTATTCGTTATTGACATTGATGTGCTGAAAGGTGAAGATGTATCATTATACAGTGACTATCCTGACGAAGAAGAAGTAATACTTCATGCCGGCTTCACATTCGAAATTCAATCATGCAAATTTGACGGTAGAACAAACAAGTGGATCATGCATCTCAAAGACCATCAGCTTTGATGATGAACCCGTGAACTAATGATCTATAAAAAAGTAGTTAGACAAAGCTTAAAAATAACCTGTATGGGCCAGGAGATGATGCATTACATTTAGTTCTGTAGTAAGATTTGCCGAGTTGAACATCTCTTCACAACCATTTACTGACAAGTGAAGAGACGCCTAAAACATTCTTCATTCAATTAGCATCATAAAACTGTTTAGGTCATATCATACTTGAATAGTGTCGAAATACTATTTTTCAGATTCGCTTTTTTACGGAGAATAAGAATAAAAAGCTTCCAAGGTTCGCAAAGACATTATGTTCGAGTTTTACGGTGGTTTTTCAAAATTAAGCAGTTTCGTAAATTAAGCAGTTTCGTTAAAATTTTCGCCATTAAAGTTTTGATTCGAAATGCTATGACATACATATTCGGATTCAGCTCGTCGAGCTCTATCCAACTACGCAGAAAAATCGAAAAAATAAAAAGTGCTCCTCTTTTGAATTTCATCAACCTTAAAAGAATAACGCATGAATCGCATACCATCAGCAAAACAATTCAACTATGAGAAATATTTCTATATTTAAAAGAGAAAGTTAGATTTTTTCTTATTCTCAAAATGCAATTATTCTCTATCGCAAACGAAAAAGATAAAAATATTTTCAAATGATCATTTCCTTTCTGTTTAGATGTTAATATTACTCGACTGTCCTTATTGCAGTCAGACAATGACAGTTCAAGAACACACGGATATTTCTTTATTCAAAGAGGAGAAAAGTGGAGATTTGAGCATATTAAAGGATACAAATATTTCTTCACGAAGAGCATGGAAAGTAGAAAGTCGTGTATGATGTTATGTCAGGATAAATACAGAGTGCCCAAAAATTGGTTTACCGAGATAAAGTGTAACTGAGTATTTCAAGTTTTTAATAATTGTTTTTTAATGGTTTTGATAGTTTTACTAATGCATCTTGATGTTAGTAATTGTGATGTAAATGATTAATTATGCTGCAATTTTGATATAAATAAAAATAAAATGTGTGTATATCTCGGTAAACTAAACTTGTGAGCCGCCCTGTATCTGTCTTCTTAAATTTAACGCCTATCAAATATATTATGATATATATCCATGGACGATGTATTCCAAAAAGACTGAAAATATAGAGGGGAGAACGGCAGCTTACCTTATTGTTTTCTTGGCTTATTGATACTCGGCAATATCATCCCTACAAGGAAACAATAACAGGACTTGATTCCAATCTACAGATTTTGTTTGGTTCGACTTGGGTTGTCTGACCGACGAACAAGATGGCATTTTCATGGAAAACACATATTAGAAGAGAAGGACCATTTTTTTGTTTCCTCGAATGACAGGACAAACAAAAAAAACGAGACTTTTATTCTTTAAATCTACAAGAATTATGTGCTTGACTTTCGTACAATCTCTAGTTTTCTCTGTGAACAAAATCTTCTGAGCCATGATCTCTAGCGGAGAACAGGACATGGTTGAAGTGCAAAGGCCAGAAAGAAATAGAAACATGAGTGTAGGTTACTCTCGTTGAACATCAATAATGTATTTCGCAGAATAAAATGAATCCACTTTGATATGCTCCTGTTCGACTTGTTGGTTCTATGTCGAGAAATTCGTCGACCATATCCATCTGGTATGTTGACTCGTTTTAAGGCAATGTCCTAGACCACCAATATACATCACAATGGTCGATGGGAAAAAGTGCCGGAGTGCATACTCCATAATTATGTCGAGATCATACTAGTGAACTACTTTCTATGATTGAAGAGTTATCATATACTAGGCAAAATAAGTTGAAGATGAGTACAAGTCAGTAAACGTATCTATCAATCAGTCTACGTCTGACATTTTTGATGTAATTTGATAGTCACACGTCAGTATACGGCAGGAATTTGTAGACATGAGTTGGGGTTTAGATGGACCAATGAATGATTCTACAGGAAGGCCAAGAACTGAATTCTGGGAGGTCTGTTGACTACTGAAAAAAAACTAGGGCTAAACGAGATTATCGATCACAACGGACTAAAACAACGACGGTCTTTCTATCGATGGAAATTCACTTATTATGAGAGTAGTTTTATGATGCTAATTGAATGAAAAATATAGAGGCAAAAAGACACGGTAAAAATAGGAGGTTTATATGTCCGATTGACTCTGTCCCCACTATAATGCTGAAAATTTCTACCCGAATTGCTACGCCAGACATTACGCCGTCCTGGATGCCGGGTTAACCCATTGTTTAAGTAACTTGAATTCATACGAGGTGGTAGACGACCTTCATTCGGTGTAACCAACTGTGGCGTCTCATTAGAATCTGATCCCTGAGCTAATGCTCTAAGTTCCGTCACCATCCCATCGTTTTTCGTGACCAATTCTGTATGCATTTGTCTAGGTGAGTATGGCGACTGAATCTGATTCTTTTTCTTCTTACAGTATTCCTCTGAATGTCTTCCACCTCGAGAAAACGCACATTTTGCTAAGCATCTAAATTGTCTATGGCCCTGTTTGCCACATCCTCGACAAATTAATCGAGTTTTGTAATGTTGCAAGGCTTTTCGTTTGGATCGATTCGATATATGAACCTGTGTATCGTCCCGTGTAGGTGTAGCCGAACTATTGGAGTTGAGTGGACATAGTGTTTCCCAACCATTTTTTGGGGATAATCTCCCGAATCTCCGTTCGGAATACTTTATTCCACGATTTTTCAATCGTTTCTTTCAGTTCCAATCCTTCTTCACGCTCAACATCCACCAGTTCAGTCTCTCTCTTTGTTGCAGACAATTTACTACGTATAGTCATGCATATTGATTCTCCCCCGACTCAATCGTTTGTGATATAGCTTCAGCCTCACATTGTAATAACTTTAACTTCATCTCATGAATGATATTCTCCCACTTATTCCGAATTCGATCATCTTGAGTGCCGAATGATTGATGGGGGCTATCAAACTGCAGTGTTTTCGGGAATATATGATTTTCCTGATAGTAGCTGTTTAACGCCAAATGATTACGATAACGGTAATATCGATTGTCTTCTGCTCGATATTTGCTAATCAGATCCTCTTCCGACTGGACAGCCGTAAGTTCAGTCTGCGTAATTATTGATCGGCCTCGTCCAGAACACGCCAAACATGTCGTTGCTCTATGTAGACCTTCACATTGTTCAGCTTTACATAATCTAATGTTATGTACTTGAGCCTTAGAATCTGTCATAAGCCGCCATTCACGAAAAGGACGAAAACCTTCGATCTGATCGTCCGATGAACTATTCCAGACTTTTTCAGTCGAACATTCAAAGCTAATATCGGTCTGTACCTGACGATAGAGAGTAGAAAATAGAGAGTAAAAAAATATAGAGAGTAAAAAATAACGACAATTATGAGGTAGTTAACAAAATACGATCATGACCGGTTTCGACTAAATAGTCCTTTTCAAATGAAATAGTTAACACCTATTACTACTCTCTTTATAATGTGTTTAATATAAGCGAGAAGATGCGAGTTACTGTTTTATCTCAAAGGTGAACTATTTTCTTCGTGACAGTTTTAAAATCGAAAGAGAATCTCACTTAGACAACGCTTCAACCCCAAAGTCTTCTCCCATGTGTAGGATCAGCTAAGTATGTTGACTGTGCAGAGATCTGCGAATGAAACTGCACATAAAGGTTGAATTATCACAAACTCTGAATTACCCCGGTGTAACCTCGCTTTGCCGTTTGACCCTTTCAGAATGTAGCAGCTATCATTTCGGTCCTGCTTGAAGCACACAGGAAAACTGCAGTTTTTTCCAAAATAAATCAAGCAGATTTTCGTTTTTTTATTTATTTTAACAGAAGTATTGTCTTTTCTGGCAGGTTTTCTTCTGAGTTTTTCTTTGGAAAAACTCCTTTTTCCTGTTTACTTTCTTTTTTTACAGTGTTACTTTGTTTGTTACTTACTTTCAGATAGATTTGTATACAAGCACAGGCGAGAGTCGTATATCACAAAAAAGTAGAGATTAATGGAAGGAAACGTGCTAAAAGAGTGTTCCAAAAGTTTAATATAAAAACAAATTGATAATGGTCGCACTGAATAGTCTTCTCAATTGATCCAGAAGGAGAAATGATTGTCCAGATTTTTCTACAAGCCAAAAGTGTGCTTTTTAAACGTTCTTTTAGTTAGAAAGACTAGATCAGTTTTAAACTATATCTCGCTCTACATTTTGCAGTATAATGTAAATTTTTCACCCTTAAAAATGTCACCCGATGCTGAAATTTTCCCTTTTGGTACAACTTTCTATACTTTTTCGTATGTATAAGTTTCATTAAGATCGGAGCTGTCCTTCAAGCGTTCTAGGCCTTATAATCTGCAAAATCTCGCTCTACAAACTGAGTGCAAAACTCACTTTTTTACCTTTTTCGACTGCAGGAAGACGAAACTTTTTTCTATACTTTTAAACTATTTTTCATGCTCTATCTTTTGGCCATCTCAAATTCTTAAAAATACTTTCCCATCGATCTCCGGGTCTAAAATAATCTCGCTAGAGTGAAAAATTGTTAGACGGGCAACAAGAAGTAAACAAAACTAAAAGTGAGTCACATGCTTGGATAGAGAATTGAAAGCCCTACAAAACGTACTACTTTGTTTTTATTTTGCTCTCTTTCTTTCCTTTTTTTCGCTGAATGAGTCATCGGAAAAACGGGTATTTTTTTGTTTTGATCCACGTATCTCAGTGAATTTAAGAGACATCGCCACCAAATAGTGAGGCGAGATGTCAGGAAGAAAATAAAACAAGAAATTTGGAAATCGATTGACAGTAGCAGGAGTGCGGCTGAAAATATGTAAAAAAATGTAATTGTACAAAAAAAAAGGTTACCATTGATTGACCCATTTTCTTTTCTTTCTCTATACGTGAACACAATCACCGACGTGTTTTGCAGTAAGTCTAACATAAATAAAACCGTACTGTAGAAAATGAAAAATACTTTTAGTCTCCAATTTTCGCAGCGAACACTGTCAGTCATCGAAACTCGCTACTGTTCGACGACCTGTGAGTCAGTATTCACAAGCCTTGTATTTATCCCAATTCAGAATCACCTCATTCTGACTAGCTAGGATCAGAAAATGATTAAACATATAAAACCAATATACCTAGTAGGATAAGCCACCAGAAAATCAGATAAAATCCTACTGCAATCCTACACTAGAAGCCTAGAGGATCTAGCAAAATCTCATTACAGCATCACATAAGAATCTTACAGCAGGATTTTGTAGGACTCTTTGGCTTTGAGGTTTTTCGACAAAGTCCTACAAGATTTTCGTAGGACCTTACAGGATCCTAATGTAGAATCTCGTAGGATCCTACAGTAGGTTTGTTTAACATAGGAGTCATAGCATTTAGTCGGCTCCTATGTTAAACAAACCT